CAGAAAAAAAAGTTATAGAGTTCCACACCCATAACTCCAGCATTTGGGTGGAGGCAGGAGGATCAATAATTCAAGATCAGCCTTGGCTACATGGAGATCTTATTGCTAAAAAACAAAACAAAAGTTGAAAAAAAAGTATAAGAATTATTCTGTACTTTATGCTCATTTTTTCAAACACTAACTTTCCTCATAACTATGTCTTAATTTATCAAAATCACAAAATTTGGTACGACCGTAGCTCCTGTTTGGCTTCTCCAGCACTCCCTGACACTGTCCTCCCCCACCTGCCCTGGGTCTCTTCTCACTTGCTTGTCTAGACTCTCTTGAGTCTAGAGCAGGACCTCACACAAGGTCTCGTCTCTGGATCTACTCTCTGAATGCCACCCCATATTCCTACCACTGCTCTGTCCAGGGCCACCATGGCTATGAGCACTTCTCCATATCACCCCTTCTCATCTCTCCAATAGAACTGTAGCTTGTGGTGGTGATGCGTGGTGAGTAATTATATGTTTCTTTAGATTTAATCTGTTTGGGGTGTATGATTCTGGAGCACACTTTCTGCCTTTCTCTGAGGTGAGAAGTTTCATTATCTCTGAGTTGAAAAATTTCATTCTTGCCTGCCTGCCTTTCTTCCTGCTGTGAGGCATCCATCTCAGAGTCTCACATTCTGGGTTAGCCACTCCACCACTCAGCTAATCCTCCCACCTGCCACTTCTCTCTACTACATTATTCTCCACTGCCTCTAGGATACCTGTCATATACACATCAGACTTTTAGTGTTGCCCTGCTCATGTCTTCCCTGTCTCTTCTGTATGTGTTCAAGTCAGCTGTCACCTCTGACCTGATGTTGGGCCCCCTTTTTTCTTTACTTTGGCAATGATGTCTTTATATTGTATGTGTCCATCCAGCTGCTCTTTGGTGTCCTACTTTCTTGCTGAGTTTTATGCTTTCCCATTCACACCCAAATTGCTTGCACTTACACACACACACACACACACACACCAAAGATCAGTTACTTTTTGTTGCTGTGATGAAAAACTGTGAGCAAAATTGACTTATAGACTGAAGAGTTTATTTGAGCTTATAGTTCCAGAGGGAGAGTACAGAACAGCAGCAGCAGAGGCATGACAGCAGGTGGCTGCAGCAGGAAGCTTTGAGGTCACACATTCATCAGTAAACACAAAGGACAGGTGGGGAGAAGAGGGAGAGAGGAAGAGGGAGGGATGAAGCAGCTACATGATACTCACTACTTAAGTTTTTGAGATTTAAAAAATAATTTATTTTTATTATGTGTGGCCCCCCTACTGTGTGTGTGTGTGTGTGTGTGTGTGTGTGTGTGTGTGTGTGCCAAAAGAGAGTGCTGAAGCCCTTGGAGCTGGAGTTATAGCTGTGGGTAGTCTACACTGCTTCCTGAAAGTCCTCCTAGGAGGTCACCAAGATTGGGGTGGTATTGGAAACCTGGTAGAGCCAGACAATGCTAAAGCAGAGTGAACTGAAGGCTCATACATAGATATCAAGAGTAGACACACAGATGACTGCACAAAATAGAGGAAATCTGTTGGACTCCACCCTTCACCAAAATCAAAGTAAAGGACTACTGACTTAAAGGCAAAACACAAATCTGCAAAGCTCTCAGAAAACAACAGGTGCGAATCCCATCATTTGAGGAAGGTTCTCCCTTTTCTTCAGGCCTCTGCATGTCCAGGTAAGGAAAGGAGCTACTTGCCAGAATGTCCACATGGTCCTGCCCTATCACGTTGGATGCTCATAGCCAGTTTGGACTGTGGCCCCATGAAAGCCACATGGCTCTGGTCCAGGTAATAGGAGAGTGTCTGGGGTCTAGGAGAGACTGAGACAGTGATGAGATTTTTGTAGGGTCAGAAGTACTTGGGCACGCAGTTGTAGGGGAGACAGTGGCTCCATACCCTTCACAGGCCTTTGACTATTCCTTCCGTGGTCACTTTTGAGCTGCTGGTTCAGTTCTCAATTAGTATGTGTTTACCACCAAGAATTCCTACCATAATTTCAGGATTATTCTAGTTATTGCTCATCATCATCTTTCTTTACTAACTTTTATGTGTGTGTTCATGTGCACGTGAGTTATGTATGCATGTGGAGGTCAGAAGACCTCAGATGTCATTTTCAGGAACACCATCCACTTCATTTGAGATGAAACTCACTAACTAGGCAAGACTGATTGGCCACTGAGTCCTAGGGATCTGCCTGTCTCTGTGCCAGGATTATACACATGTGTCACCACACCCAGCATTTTTTCATGGGTCTGGGGATCAGACTTAGGTTCTCATACATACAGAGCAAGTACTTTACAGACTCAGCCATCTATGCAGACCCATCACCAACTTAAAACCTCACTTATTCTTTAAGTTTCTGGTTTCTAGCTTAAAGGTTACCCTCGAAAGACTGAAGCCCAGGTTCCAGAGGAGGAACTTCGACCCCATTTCCAAAGGGTATAGAGTATATGATACAGAGGTTGGGTGGGAGAGCTTACCTAGGGGTCCAGATTCACCCAGAGAGAATAAAAAGATAATAGTTTTATCAATGACCAGTAAACAAAAGCCAATGGCTAGGACCAGTGTTACCTTCATGTTCTGTGATTGGCACTGCCTGTCAAGATTGGCATATGACTAGTGCAAGAGTCAAAGTGAGCAGTTAAGGAAGCAAGTCAAAGATGGAAAGAAGGGGGATTTGCTGTGTGACCACCCCCAGTTGGGCAAGTAGTATGTGATTATCTTCTGGCTGGGCCAGGAAGGCATGCACAGAGCCTGAACCCTGCCATTGGTTTGGCCTATTCTATGTCTGGATGATTAACCTGTCTCAATAAAATTACCCTAATTTTTGCCTAGTCCTAACTATAACTCTTATTGTAAAAAAAAAAATGCTCCCCAGCAAAGCACTTCACAGTGTCTTCCTCGGTTCCTCTCCCATGGTGAGAATCTGAGTTTTGCCTGTTCTTTTCTTTGCTCACTGGACTGTCTATATCCTTTATCGTCACAGCTGTGAGACAATGAACTCAAAAGCATCTGTCTCTGTTTGACTTTTGGGAACTGTTGATTGACTGGCACCTTAGTTCCTGGGTTGAGAAAGGCCTTGTCACCAACACAGGACCCAGACAGCACTTACAATTTTTACTGCTTATCAAGTGTGGGGAGTGAATGGGGTTTAAACTCAGCATGAAAATCAAATCAATAACTGCTTAAAACAAAACAAAATCTTAAGGCAAGATAAGGTCTTGCTTTCATCAGGGACCCTGAGTACAGAGATGCCAGACATGGGGCTATCCAGATGCTCCAAGGGGCTCTAGGCCATCTCAGTCATGGGGCTGCATGGTCTTGGGATGAAGGGTATGGTGTCTTCTCTGCCACCTCAGTTAAGAGTTTGGTGGAGGAGCATAAAGAGCAGGATCAGGAAGGCAGATGTGTGTGGACCAGGCTGGCCAGATGTATGGATCTGGGAACAAGATACCACACCCACCCACAGGCTCACTTGCTGTTAGGGTCTGAATATGAAACACTCCCTGCAGGAACAGGTTGCAAACCTTGTTCCTCATCTGGTGGCACTATTTTGGGAGGCTGTGGAGCCTTCAGAAAAGGGGGTCTAGTTGGTGGAAGTGGGTGGACTCTTGAAGGTTATACCTGAACCCTGGTTCCTGCTTTGCTCTCGGTTTTCTAGTTCAGTATGATGTGAACAGTCTCACCACAAGCTCCCACTGCTGGGAATGCCTTTCTCCATCATGATGGAAGAAAAACCATGAACCAAATAAATCTTCCTTAAGTTGTTTTGAAAGACCCCCACTATGCTTATTGCCTGTTTAAATTGCTCTTGCTAATTTGCCAAGGTCAAGTTATGAGAAAAGTACAGGAGGGAACCAGGTGCTGCTCTCATCCAACGCCAACCAGGTATCTGTGGTCTGCAGCTTGGACTAAAGCAAGGTCAGCAAGACTGTATCCTATCCGGGATGCTGAGTCATAACTGAATTCTTTGTATTCTTTGTGCCCAACCCGAATAACCAACTGTCCTTGGTTAACTACAACTGCTACATTTAGATGAAACAATGAAATCCCTGTAACCATGCTTCTGCTTCTGTAAGCCTGCTTCTTGCCACCCCAACCCTATATAAACTGCCTGAGTTTTAACCTCTGCACCCTCAGTCCCCCGAAAGACTGAAGTGTCCACAGGTACCTGTGTAAACAATAAATAACCTCTTGCACTTGCATCCAGTGGTCTGGTCTCGTCTCTTGGGGGCAAGGGCCTTCCCCCCTGACAGGCTCCAAACTCTTGGGGTCTCATGGGGGGTCTTTCAGTTTATGTCCAGCAACATGGTCATAGCAAGGCTAGAGTAAGACATCTGTCCCACACCAAGGGCCTCACACCAGCGGCCTCCTTGTTCTCTTAGATAGCCTCTTCAGGCTCTGTAAAGCCCACTCAGTCTGGCTAGCCTTAAGCTGCCAATCAGTCTCCTAGTCCCTCTCTGTGCTCCTTGCCTGTGTCCTCCTTACCCAGGGACCTTTTCAAGGACAGGTACTCAGTCATGTCCAACAGGCCTCACTTCCTGAAGTGAAGCTTCAACCAAATGTGTTCTTAGGCCACCCTGGCATTCTCTGCTGTCCTTGTGGTACTCCTGACTCTGTTCCCATTCCCTCCTCGTACAGTGGCCAGTGAGCCCTCCTAGGACCCCAGATCTGAGTTTGGATTGTGTGGGCCCCAGGTTTTGAGGACAGCTCCATGTTCAGTGTGGCTATTGCCTGACTAGGTGATCCCATCCAGATCTTGATTGTTCTATCCATAGCAGCCTGTACTGAGAGCTGGAAGAGGAATGTGTCTCTGGAGCAATGGGACAAAGAAGAGGCAGGAGTCAGGCTGTGAGGCATTGAAAGTTTACTGTCTCTGAGGAGTGTAACACAGCCAGCAGTCCCTGTGCATGATCAGGGGACCCCATAGTGTTTCTCAACCTGGACTCCATCAGGAAAGGTTGAGCAGGGTCAAAGTGTGGCTGCACCTCTGGCTTCACCAGGTTCATTCTGCCACTCACAGAGTTGCACATTGTGTCAAGGGTCAAGAGCTTTCTCAAACCATCCTGTGACCTGCATTGGAAATACTCCCTTGTCTATCTCCATGAGGAGCCAAGATGCTGAATAGGAGCAGACTGCTGGGTCCTAAGCAAAGGTTATGGTGCCCTCCCTTCCACCTCAGGGACTGAGCATCACCTTTCAAGTCCTCAGGTGGATGGAGGTGGGATAGCCACTTGAGGTGCTACAGGGGTGGGGGATGTCCTCACAATAGGGTGAAGAAGAGGCCCAGACCCATTGGCAGCAGGATCCTTCCTGGCCGGGCCCCGAACCTTTTCTGGGTGTCAGGTGCTCTGTTGCAGAGAGGAATTGAACAACATCGCCTGGTGATCCTGCCCTTAATTCCTCTGTTCAGTGTCCACTCAAACTGACTGTTGGTGTTGGAACATTGGACAGCACAGCGCTTGCTGATCTGTGCTTTGCTCATTGAATCTGTAGAAGAAAAAAGACAGCATGGGGCCTAGAACCCAGAGGCCAGATGGGAGATTTGGTGGTGGGGGTGGGGGCTCCCAATGTGGGTGGTCCTGCCAGGCCACCTTCTGTTGTTCTTTCTCAGGCATTGCCTATACAGTGATGGGAGATCTGCTACCCAGAGTCACCACCAACCTGGGATAAAGCAAAGAAGTGGTGGCTATCTCCAGTAGCCAGCTGGCTCAGGAGGTAGGTAAAGGTTGCAAAGTGGGAAAGAACTGGTTGCCAAAGTGCACGTTGTTTGGGTGGCACAGAATTTAGGATGACCAAGAATGTTCTAGCAGAGAATATGGAGCCTGTGGCCTCCTTTGAAGCCTTGATCCTGTACAAACCTCCCCACTGAGAACATCAGAACAGGTAGCACCCAAAAGGGAGTCCTCAGAGCCCACTCCCTGAACAGAACACTAGGCTCAAGAGCAACTGAACAAAAGGCTGTGGGGGGGGGGTGAGGCACCAAGTTGAGGATTTGAGACGCAGCAGGAGTAGTAAGAGGCAGCCTGAGGCAGCTTGCAGTGCCTGCGGATGTGACTACAAAGGACAGCTTGTCAAGCCCCCTGCCCGAGGCTCTCACTGTCCTGCTCCTTCAGGGCTTGTCCTAGGGCAGCTCAAGCCATTATTCTCAGGCAGCAAGGAAACGGGAGATGCCTCAACTTTAGGAATTACTCTGCAGCCAGGCTCAGGTCTTTTTCTTAGGAGAGGAGGCAGCTCTGAGGAAGCAGGCTGCTCTGAGGCTACTGCACTGTTCCAGAGAGCTAGAGGTAGGCCCAAGCAACTACTATCACCACGGGTGTGATTGAAGCAGGTCAGTCTGACCACTTCTGGTTTCTGGACATTTTCATATTTTCACTTTTTCATGGAAATGGGAAGAGTGACACGTTGGCTTTTTTGTTCCATCATAATCTCTAAGGCTGATCTTACCTAAGGTCCCACTGCTTTCCCAACCCCATGATGCCCCCACGAGAGTGGGTGGCCTTGGCAAACCTGTCTCTGGCTGGCTGGCTCTGCTTTTACAAGCCCGTTCATTTGGGAATTCAATGTCAGAGCAGAGCTTTTGTCCCAGGGTGAGTTCTAGGAGTGACACAGGAACAAATATGGCAATTGGGAGAGAAAAAGGAACTACCAAAATTCTGACCACACCTTCCCGTATAGTCCAGCATCTAGAGGATGCATCAGGCCTTCACTGGCCCTGGAGCCCAAGGAAGGCCCGAAGAAGGACTCACTTGAGTAAAGGAGAATCTCGTTGCTCTGGCAGACTTTTTCGTTTGGCTGGCATATTATGGGCCGACACTGGTTGGGCTGTTGGACCTTGAAGCACTGGAAGCAGCTCAGGTTTGGGGCTGTGATCAAGAATATACAGCGATGAGTAGGCAGCACAGGCCAGACCCCACCCCATCCCATCTCCCTCCAGCCCTGTCCATCCCTTACCTGGAGTCATGATCTCAAAGCCTCGGGCAAGTTCCACAGACACCAGGGACGCCCAGAGTGCCAGGAACAGCTGGGTCATGACTCCGTGCTTCCTCATACCACTAGAAGGGCAACAGTCTTGCCTCACAGCTCCCTTGGTGCCCTGCACTTGACTGTGGCGCCTAGGGGAGGAGCTGGAGCGCCAGCAGGAGTCTGCCTTCCCTCCATGATGGCTCCGGGGGGGGGGGGGGGGAAGGGGTTGGGAGTTGGGGGGCGTGGCTGCACCTTGAGCGGGTGCAGGAACAGCAAGCCCTGCAAAGCTGGGTGGGTTCCCCTGTGATAATGGAGTCATCATTCCAGACCCGGATCCTGGGGGCTTCCTTTTCTTTTCTGAACACACCAAGCAGCGCAGAAGCCCCCTCCATCACTGTGAGCATCAGGTCTGATCCCAAAATTTGGTCCCAGACTCCTGGCCCAGACGGAAGCCAGGCAGTTCCGGAGCCCTAATAGAACCAGAGAGATCTGGAGTGATCCAGAAAATTGGAGGCAGAGGGAAGATAGGAGTCCTCTATTAGGGGGAGTGGGGTGGGTGGGAGGAACACGTTTAGGGAAGCAGATGAGTGATTTGAGAATTAACATCAAAACCCTGGTGCAATGGAGAAGAAACAGCCATGGGCCAAATGGGGGAGGGGGCAGGGCAAACACACCACAGGCTTACAGTGTGTGTGTGTGTGTGTGTGTGTGTGTGTGTGTGTGTGTGTGTGTGTGTGTGTTCCAAATGGCTTTCTTCTGAATGGGGCCTATCTGGGGGGCCAGAAGTGGGAGATATCGTGGAATAATAAGGATCGGGCAGATAGGCTGAATAGATGTTTATTCAGGGAGAAAAACTTAGAGACAGATGATCGCTAGCAGGTGCCTGATCCCAAGGATGCCTCCAGATGCTCTCTGTCTTTGTCCAGCAAGCAAGAGAGCTTTCAGGGGGTCCCTGCCCCAGACCTAGTTCCCCCAGGTCATGTAGGCCCCTGTCATACCACCCCAATGGGTGTGGTCAGTGCAACAGGTGCCCACGGAATGACTATCTCACTACAGGGAGAGGAAGGGAAGAAATTGAGAGGAACCCTGGGCATCCAGAACCAGGTTCCAAAGACTTCTGAAGCTGAAGGACTGCAGGTCCCACCACTTAGCCTGGTCATGTGCAGGCTCCAAAGGTCCTGTAGCAGATATACCTTTGAGCAGGTGAGCCCAGAGGTTAGAACATTGCCTTTGAGGTTCCTCAGACCACAGCACCTGCTGTTGCTTCCTAATCTCTTCTGCCTTCAGGGAAGTCTATGATGTGACCCAGTCCTGCCTATGGGGTTTGTAAGTGTCGTGGGTATTCCTGAGGGACACCATTCAAACCTCTTTCCCTACTCCTAGTGTAGATTTCAGATACAGCCTTTCCTATAAGTTCAGGGATGGGGACTCAGCCTACTTCCAGCTTATCTTCCCATTGTCATAGTTTTTCTTCTTCTCAGAGTAAAACTAAGAAAACTGTGTTCTCTGAGTTATTGAAGTCAGATGGGATGTCGCAGGGCTTCTGGCTGAGGAAGTAGCTTGCAGTCTACAAGTCAGTCAAAGGGGATGTGTGTGTGGGGAGATTGGGGGGATAGGGAAATGGGGGGCTAGGGTCTCCTCTGGAGATATCAAGCATCTTCTGTGTCCTCACCTTGGGACCAGCCACATTTGCAGCCCTTGTGGACCCTACCTAGATCATTTGCCATCAGGAAATGCTGCCTTAGTCTGGAGGCCCAACCCAGTTCTCCCTGTGCCTCTTTCCCAGGCCTGTATCCCAAGAGTCTCTTTAAAGGCCAAACACCCTAACAAGGGGTGTACATCTTTCCAAGCCTGTCAGCTCATCCTTTGTTCCCTGTCCCTACATTCCCTTTGCTGTTTCCTCCCTTCTTCTCTCTTTCTTTTTATCCTTAACAAAATATGGTGGGTTGAATAAGAATGGCCTCATAAGATGTTTGAATGTTTGGTCCCCAGTTGGTGTAATAGTTTGGAAGGATTGTAAGGTGTGGTTTTATTGAGGGAGGTGTGTCACTGAGGGTAGGCTTTGAGGTTTCAAATGTCCCCATCATTCCAAGTTAGCTCTCTTTGCCTCATGCTGGTGGACCAAATATAAGCTCCCAGTGACTACTCCAGCTTCACAACTTCCTGCCATGCTCCAAGCCATGACAATCATGGTCTCTAACCGCCTGAAACTATAAGGCCCACATAAATTCTTGTATACATTGCCTTGGTCATGGTCTTGCCACAGCAATAGAAAATTAACTAAGACAACAGGTATTTATGGGACTAGATAATTATGAGGGACAGAGTTTGGATTCCATCACTATGTAAACTGGACATCTCATAACACTGTCTGCTGGTTTCTACATGCAAAGGTGTGCACAGCTGCACACACACATGGACATATGAACACACACACACAACAAATCTTTTATTTATTTATTTATTTATTTATTTATTTATTTATTTATTTTGTCTTTCAAGACAGGGTTTCTCAGTATTGTTTTGGAACCTGTCCTGGAAACTGTCTGTAGAGCAGGCTGGCTTTGAACTCACAGAGATCTGCCTGCCTCTGATGGTGACAACCAATGGCAAGGAAGACTTGGTTCCTTGTTCATAAAGAACTCATCCAGGGGACATACTGAGAGAGGTACCTGTAGGGAGTGCTACTATCTCACATACTAAAACGTGCTTAGTTGAGTGGACAACATTTCATATTCCCATCTAACACATCTCATTCGTAGTTAGGTCAGCTGAGGCTTCCTCTGCAGTGGACTCAGGGAGCCAGCAGGTAGCCATGAACAGGTGTGTGATCTGAGCCCGTCACAGCTTTTACACTTTGCTTCAGGATTCTTGATTTAAGAAATGGATGAAGGTCATCTACTACATTCCTACTCAACTCTCCTGGAAAACCAAGGCCTCAGGCTATACCCACAATGGACATGGAAGGAAAGGTCACTAAGCTGGTGTTGTGCAGTGCCAGCTGGTGTGTGTGTGTGTGTGTGTGTGTGCTCAAGAGTGCATGTGGAGGCCACAGGTCAACTCGTTAAGTCTCATTCTTCGGGAATGTCTACCTTGATTTTTAGGATGAGGTCTCTCATTGGAACTTGATACTTGCAGGTTCAGCTAGACTGCACCTGCCCTCCAGGGATGAGATTGTGAGCACATGCCACCAAGCCTGGTTCAATATGTGAATGCTGAGGCTCAAATTCAGTTTCTTATGCCTTCATGGCAAACCCTTTATGAGCTGAGCTCTCTCTCTCTCTCTCTCTCTCTCTCTCTCTCTCTCTCTCTCTCTCTGTGTGTGTGTGTGTGTGTGTGTGTGTGTGTGTGAGTGAGAGAGGGGGGGGCTTGTTCTCAAGGATCTCACACACTCTAGAGAAGCACTCTTCCACTGAGCCACTTCCTGAAGCCCCGCCTTCCTTGGTTGCAAGGGCAGGCCTCATACTCAATCCTTCTGCCTTAGCCTCTCCAGCACTGACATTATGGGCATGCATTACCCCTTGTGGCCCTGTCATTGCTTTGACTGTGAAAGTCACAGTGCAACCTGTAGACAGCATTGGCTCTAGAGACACTGTGATGGAGCCTGAGTGACAGGGAGTCAGGAGGAAATCTGTTCCTCTTGAAGCCCATCAAGAGCCTGGCACCAAAGCAGCATGTCCTAGCAGCTTCTGGTTCAGAATCATCCAGGTGACAGGCAGAAAGCCCAAATCACACAGCCCCACCAGGCTGAGAGCCCTAAACCTCAGCTGCCTGCAGTGGTGATACAGCGGTCTGCTTAGTGGGCCTCTCTACACGGCACCCTTCTGGAGAAAGCTGTACTTGGGTGTATCTAAGAAAATGAAAGAGTGGGAAGAGAAAATCCTAATAGGCTAAGATAGGCATTTGAACAGAGGAACTAAGTCAGAGGTGTTTTGAGATGAACACATGTGCATTTGTGTTTGTATTTTAAATATACAGATGTTTAATAGATTATGGATCTTTTCTATTTTATGCTATCTTATGCATATTGCATGCCTTATAAATGTATGGTATTTACATTTATATCACAATCAAGCTAATATGCTGTCAATACATTACTCCATTTTAAAAATTTATATATGTTTAAGTTACACATATATGCTTATTTTCTTTTTTGTTGTTTATTTTTTAATTTTTATTTATTTATTTTTGTTTTTCAAGAAAGGGTTTCTCTGTATTGCTTTAGAGCCTGTCATGGAACTCACTGTGTAGACCAGGCTGGCCTTGAACTCACAGATCTGCCAGCCTCTGCCTGATGAGTGCTGGGTTAAAGGCGTGTACCACCAAGGCCCAACTTGTATATTTTTTATTTATTTTCTTTTTTTTATTAATTTACTTTTTACATTCCAAACTCAGTTCCCCCTTCTTCCTCTCCTTCTGTTCCCCCCATCCCCGAGTCTGCTCCTCAGAGAGGGTAAGGCCTCCCCTAGAAAGTCTGCTGAGTCTGTCTGTAGGAATTAAGACCTTGGCTAAGAATTCACTCCCCCTCCTGCTGCCCTCAGGGCAGGCAACTGTAACCCCTGGATAATAGGAGAGATGCTTTTTAATGCAAAATGCTAATGCTCTTTTGGCTCCCACAACCCTGAAAGCACCCTAACTGGTCCTTGGAACCTAAGATGACTAACCACCCCATCCGCTTCCCCCTCCTCCAACTGGTGCTGGGGTATATAAGCTAGCCCCTGTAGTAAAGTAGGATATATAATAAAAAGCCTTCTTAATATCAAGAGAGTCCAGTGTTATTAATCTTGACACCCTCCGCAATTTCCCGGGCTTCTACAGCAGCACAGACGCCGCATCTGTCCCATCATCTAGTTGAGGCAGGACCAAGGCACCTCTTCATCCCCACATCCCTGTGTCTAGGATGAGCAAGGTATTTCTCCATAAAGAATGGGCTTTACTAAGTCAGTTTGTGCTTTAGTGTTAGGTCTTGGACCCACTGTCACTGGCCTCATATATTGATTGTCCCAGTCACACCACTGCCACCTGTATTAGGAATGCCTAGTTCAGTCTTATGCAGGTTCCATTTGTCAGACCTGA